GATAACACTAAGCTCATACTTTCCTTCAACACGAGCCTTGGTACATTGTTGCTAACCTACAAGCTTTAGAAGGAAATTGATGTTGATACTTACTGTTTAAGTAGTATAGTTGTAGCAGTTTGCCCTCATTTTTTCCCCCCAAAGGGAAAAGGCTGAATAAGGGAATATAAAATACCAGATACCTTGAGTGGCTTCCCAAACGAGACAGTATTTAAGCAGTTTATTTCTTATAGGTGTCCTTTGAAATAAAGGTCATACATGTAAACTCTAAACTAAGTGTGTGAAACTAAGTTATAAGTATGTTCTGCATCAATTACTAGAAGAGATCTCAAGCGCTAAATGCATCTGTACAATTAAAACAGGGCTTAACGCAGTGGTTAAAACAAAGATGAACAATTGGTGCAGAAGATGACTTCTGATAGCAAGCAGGTACCGAGAACCTGGGGAAAAGATTACTCTGAACTACTAAACTCAACACAGATAGGGCAATTTATTTTTTATTTTGTTAAAGCAGGACATCAGAGTTACTCCAGCTTTGTATGCACTTCAAAGTCCTTTACAGTTACATTGGGATATCCACAGAAGAGAAACAGCTTGTATTAGAGAACATATCAGTGAAGCTTAAATTCAAATCATCCCAAATTAAAGCACTACAGAGAATAGTCTTCCCTCTCCTCACCCTCACAAAACTGGATTGGCCTTCTGCACACGTGAGGGTATCAGGGCAGTTTTCACCCTTACTCCCCTCCAGAAACATGCACATATACACAGCAACAATTATATTGGAAAAGTCTGAATGAAATCCAGGCCTCACAGCTTGTCTTTCTTGGTAAACAAGGAAGTCAATCACAATAATGAATACTTTTAAGTTTGAATGCAAGCACTTCTTTTAACACAAGAGTCTAAAAGGCCAGAAGAAAGGAGCTACAATTTTCTGCCAGTGCTAACAGCACTGCGGCTCAAAGCTGCATTAACTTCTTACTGCAGGAAAAGATTATCAGAGCAGTTTCTTATACTTTCACATTGGGACTCGAGTCAGATTCAATTCAGAATTTACTTTTAAAAGTGTTCAAGATTTAAGTTTTTTGTTCCCTTCATGAAAACAGCAAGACAGGTAGTTTTATCTATTGTTTACCATCTATTCTACAGGCTTCAGAGAAAAAAAAAACCTCTGACATCTAAGTCTGCACCAACTAACCTCAGCTACGCCAGTCTCATTTGAGGAAGAGGTTAAAATGGAAGACAGCCCCCTGCCTACAGGCATTTCTAAACAATGGGGCGATTTTTCCACCACTAATTATTGCCCTGGATAAGTATCAAGTATGTAGAATTATAACTTAATATACACTACTCTTCAAGCATATGCGGCTACTGACCTGTCAGAAGCTCAGCAGAGCTGCTGGCTGATGCTCTACTTCCCTTTGCAGAGAATTGTCTAGTTATTTCTGAACCCCCTCGTCACAACCAAGCTGGAAGCACTCTTAGAGGCATCAGAAAATACAGCATTATTTAGCATTAATGGATGGGGAAAGGGAGAAGTATCCATCATAAAATATATCTCCTGGTTACTTACAGCCACAGTGTTTTAGAAAGTAACGCCAGATAGGAGAACCAGGGCTGCCAACAGCTTTAAAGTTAAAAGAAGCCACAGATCTCTTAAGAGTTTTATTAAACTAGGTAGGTGCTCAGTCTAATGTCAAGTGAAAAGACTGCAGCCACCAAGAGAACCCAGAGCAAACAGAATTCATGAAGTATACAGACATCTCACTAAGAACCGAGTTAAAGTACTGCAAACTTGAATAACTTTGACATTTAAAAGCCCACAATTGCCATTACAATTCGTTACTGTTACTAGAACATGTAATGCTCCTGCTCACGACAGATGTACATCATAGTAGATTACTCAAGAAATTACAAGGTCAGGGTGATTTTTCTTCAGTTTTCATGCCACACACAGGCTGCTCTAGAACGTTTCCAAACTGCAAGAACTTTATTAGCTACTTCAAGATTGCAATACACATCTAATACCGAATATAGTTATTAAGAGGAAAGAAGTATGACTTTAATAGAGTCAAAACCTTGTTTTATATACCCAGCCTCC